CAGAGATCCGCCTGGCTCTGCCTCCCGAGTGCTGGGATTAAAGGCGTGCGCCACCACCGCCCGGCCATTTTTGTTTTTTTTAATGTCTGTGTTATGTGCACATGTGTGCAAGGTTCTCAAGGTTCTCATGGAGGCCTTTTGGTTCCCTTAGAACAATGGTTCTCAACCTTCCTAATATTACAACCCTTTAATACGTTCCTCCTGTTGTGGTGACCCCCATCATAAAATTATTGTCATTGCTACTTCCTGACTGCAATTTTGCTCCTGTTATGAATCACAATGTAAACATCTGTATTTTCTTTGGGGTTGAGACGCACAGGTTGAGAACCACTGCCCTAGAGCTAGAGTTAAGGTGGTTGTAGGCGCTGGCAACTGAACTCCAGTCCTCTGGAAGAGTAGCGTGTTCTCTTAACCTCTGAGTCAGTTCTTCAACCTGTGACTCTTCCTCGCTACCGTCCCGTGGTCACAGTGACTTTCCTGACCACATGCCTCTTCCCTCCCCTAAGCTGACAAGATCTATCCGGATCTTGTCATCAGCTTCCACTATTCTCCACTTTGTTATCAGCTCTGTCACCTCAGGTCATGAGTCAACACAGCCTGGAGGTCACACAGTCAGGGCACCAAGCTAGTATGACATCTGCTGTGATACCCAGTTCCCTTTCCAGTTCCTGAAATATCAGGAGTGAAGCCGAGTGGTGGTGGCCCAAGCCTTTGATCCCAGCACTTGGGGAGCAGAGGCAGGTGGATCTCTGAGTTCAAGGCCAGCCTGGATTACAGAGTGAGTTCCAGGACAGTCAGGGCTACACAGCAAAAACAGTTCGAGGCTAGCCTGGTTTACAAAGTGAATTCCAGAGCTGTTACACAGAGAAATTCTATCTTGAAAAACCAAAAACCAAAACCAAAACAAACAAACAAACAAAACACTGAAAGAGAGAGAGAGAGAGAGAGAGAGAGAGAGAGAGAGAGAGAGAGAAATATTGCCAGTGGGTTGACGTATATGTGCAGACAGGTTCTGAAACAGCAGAGAGATGCCTCAGTAAGGAAAGGTGACTGTGACCTATGACCCCTGTTACTTTCAGGAAGAGAAACAACTGTGAAGAGGTTCAGTCAGATGGAAGAGACGGACGGTCAATCATGATCCCAAGGGAGGCTGTGACGGTGAGGGCTGGAGAGGAGGCTCGGAGGATTAAAGGGAAGGGCGCCTGCTGTGCAAGCGTGGAGACCTGGAGACCAGGGTGCTAGTCTCCAGGACGCGTTTCCTAGGCTACTTACTTTTAGGGATCAGAAGAGCCTCCACACCCACCCCCGCCCCTTTTGAGACAAGGTCTTACTCTGTAGAATAGACCGGCTTGAGTTTGAGATCCTCCTGCCTCAGCCTCAGAAGCCTCAGAAATTCAAACGAGACCATACTTAACTGATGTCAGATCTACCCTCCTATTCCAGGGTAGTAGGGGCCCCTCCTATGGTTGTTTCTTTGAGGCAGGGTCTCATGTAGCATAGGCTAACCTCGAGTCAGTAGGTAGCCAAGGATAACCTTGAATCCCTTATCCTCCTGCCTCCACGATCCAAGTTCTGGAATTACAGATGTGTCTGCCATTATTCCTTATTTATTTATTCATTTCATTACTTGAGACAGGGTTTCTGTGGTGGTTTGAATAAGAAATGTCCCTCACGGGCTCAGGTATTTGAACATTTGGTTTTAGCTGGAGTTTTCTCCAGTCC